CAAACTGAGAGTGGTAGTGGATCAAAATCTTCTAGAAGCACAATGGCAGCTGCACGTGATTCTATTCATTACAAGACACATCATGAAGGAAAATGATGTCCATGAGGTCTGTGATGTGTATTTGCAAATGCAGATCTGCTTCCATTCTAAGTTCAGAAGTTACTTTCATTACTTTTGGCAGAGTAAAAAGCATGATCTTTAAGTAAGACTAAGCATAAATGGAGGGCCAGAACTGTTGATAGAATTTTCTATAAAAGAGCTTTACTAAGGTTTGTTTCAGTTAAAACACCTGCAAAATTGGGCATCTACACAAATCTCACTTCTCCATTTCCCTCATCAGCATCTTGAATGACTCCAGAGAAAATTTAGTGTTATGTATTCTAAGGAATAATAATCCTGCCATATTTCTTGGCTCTGACATAATGAATTATTTTAAATTTGGAAGGTGAGGGCAGTAGGTGTACTGTTTTAATTTTGTCTTAGTTTAAAAACTTTGTTTCTAAATTGTGATTTTCTGCAGGCAGAACAAGGTTATAATAGTTAATGCAGTTATCAAAAGGCAGGCACAGTGGCTTCACACCTGTAATTCTAGCACTTTGGGAGGTCAAGAAGAGCAGATTATTTGAGGTCAGGAGTTCGAGACCAACCTAACCAACATGGTGAAACCCTGTCTCTACTGAAAATACAAAACAATTAGCTGGGCATGGTGGTGCATGCCTGTAGTCCCAGCTTCTCTGGAGGCTGAGGCAGTAGAATCACTTGAACCCGGAAGGTGGAGGTTGCAGTGGATCAGCATCGTGCCATTGCACCCCAGCCTGGGTGACAGAGTGAGGCCCCATCTCAAAAAAAAAAAAAAATTCTTTTTTTTTTGAGATGGAGTTTCGCTCTTGTTACCCAGGCTGGAGTGCAATGATGCGAACTCGGCTCACCGACACCTCCGCCTCCTGGGTTCAGGCAATTCTCCTGCCTCAGCCTCCTGAGTAGCTGGGATTACAGGCACACGCCACCGTGCCCAGCTAATTTTTTTTGCATTTTCAGTAGAGACGGGGTTTTCACCATGTTGACCAGGATGGTCTTGATCTCTTGACCTCGTGATCCACCCGCCTCGGCCTCCCAAAGTGCTGGAATTACAGGCTTGAGCCACCGCACCCAGTCAAAAATTCTTTTAAAGAATGAGCCTAATGTGAGATTTATAAATATTGCCAGTATATTTTTCTAAAATAAATATTTTTGTTCATTTTTAAGAGAATGTTAGGAAAATTAAGGGAAGGTGTTCTTATGCGTTACGTATTATATATCAGAGGATTCATATGAAGCTTAGTAGTAGTGTTTACTGTGCCTTTCTTTCTATGGTGTATTTTAAACCTGTGACTATAGTAATAATCTCCCAATTGAATGTACATTAAAATTGTTAACTATAATTTGTAAAGCTATTTAAAATGAAAAATTTTTCATCAAGTATGAGGCGATAAGAATGAATTTGGCAAAATAACAGCCTTTTCCCCAAAAGGGGTATTTGATGTATATATTTTTAAAAACTTTTTTTCTTCATATTTCAATGATTTATTTAATTTCAGTAAGACATTTCTTTTTTATTATACTATTTATTTATTTCAGTAGGTTTTTGGAAAACGTGGTATTTGTTCACATGCATAAGTTCTTTTCATGGTGACTGCTGAGACTTTGGTGCACCCATCATAAAAACTTTTAATGCTCTGGATTTGTGAAGTATCTATTCGGTGGTAGCATAATTAAATTAGTTTATAAGGTTTGGAGCTATCAATTAAGTTTTTAAAAGTACATATATTTGTTAGATAATGGTTTAAACTGAGATGGAATTTAATAAATGTCTGCAAAGTATCATGCAAAAGGGTCATGGCTCATACTACTAGGACCAGGGAGGTGGGATTTATTTTCAGAGGAGAACTTGGAAGCAGAGAAGTAATAGAATGTTTACAATGCCCTAAATTATAAATTATCCTACCGCTTGAAGCACAGTTCCTATAGAGGACACCATCCTTCAAAGAAGCTCACTCCTGGTCAAAGAAGGGGGCACTGCTGCTCAGTGGCCTGGCTCAGCCTGCTCTTTCCTTATGGTGGCTCTGACCGGCTGAACTGGCTCTTTACTAAAGCTGGCTCCAGGGAAGACTGGTCTGTGCTCATGAAATTTGACTGAAGTGGTCCCTACGAAATCCAAAAATAATAAGGTGTGTATGTGGGAAGATGAACAGCTTTCTAATGTGTATTATTCTGAACAAACTTTTTTCTCTTTTGAGATGGAGTTTTGCTCTTGTTGCCCAGGCTGGATTGCAGTGGCACAATCTTGGCTCACTACAACCTCCGCTTCCCAGGTTCAAGTGATTCTCCTGCCTCAGCCTCCCGAGTAGCTGGGATTACAGACACCCGCCACCATACCCGGCTAATTTTTTGTATTTTAAGTAGGGACGGGGTTTCGCCATGTTGGACAGGCTGGTTTCAAACTCCTAACCTCAAGTGACCCACCCGCCTCAGCCTCCCAAAGTGCCACCCAGCCTTTGAATGAACTTTTAATTTGGCATGAAATTAACCTCAGGCTAGAGTCTCTCAGAGTATTAAAATAAGTAAATACTACTGGGCAAGAATAAGTAGCAAAAATAACTGTATAGTAAGAATATTTTTTAGTTTATTGTAAAATATTCAAGTAGTCTATTTTAATTTTTATTTTAAAATCTATCAAACTAGACCACTTGTAATAGATTATGAGTTGATGAGAACATATTTTGTAGTCTCTTTTAAAGCTTATATCTATAATAGACCATCAGGCTAGTGTCTGTCCCTGAACTGAGTATAGGGTCACTTCCCTGTTAGAGGCAGTTAACAGGGGCAGAGACTGTTTGGCTTCTAACTCAGCATGTTTGTTAAATCTTAAAACATGTACACAATTTACAATTGTTTAATGTGTTGTTATTTTTTTATAGCAGGTTGTTGAAGACTGGAAATTCATAGCCCAGGTTCTTGATTGGTCGTTTCAATTGTTGGATCTCCTGAGCTTTTTGCTCCTATAATTTATAAATGGGCAAATATAATAGTACCAGTTCATGTCAGAAATGCAAATAAGTGAAGCCTCCTGAGGGACTAAAGTGTACATTTAGGTAACACACATATATCTTATGGCATCTACAAAATTATGAAAATGTAAGTTATGTGTTAAATTTGGGGTGAGCTTTAACAGATTAATAGTTGCTAACCTCAATATATGTTAATAGATGATCCATTAGAACAGCTGCCTGTATGAATGAATAACTGATGAGATAACATTTGATCTAAAAATAGCAGCAAAATATTATCCAAACTGTACTAGTGAAAAATCTAGTATTTGTATTCTGGCAAAAAGTACTAATTTATAATCAACAGTAAAGCTCATCCTTTTACTGTGCTGGAAAATTCCAGTTGTATTTGAAGACTGATTTTAAAATGTTTCTGCATTTGATAAAGGTACATACACTTCATGTACTCACCGAACAGCTAATCTTTAATATTATACTGCTATATTTAAGAAGCTGACTACTTGATATAATAATTACTTAATGTGATGCTGCTTTTCCATAACGAACATTTTTAAAATAAATGAAAAACAGGAACTGGGAACCTCCTTAAGACTTACTTTATCTTTAGATGCTTTAACTGAATAATTACAGTGTTAACTATTTTTGTAGCTTAACTTCCACTGTAAAGTCATACATTAGACAACTCCTGTGGACACGCAGTAGCATATCCTTAACATTAATGTAAATCCTCTTGTCCATATTTCCCATGATTAATAGAACCATCTTCCATGTAAACTGTGGTGGTATCTCTTTATCCATGATCTTAGAACAGTCAGTCCACTACAATTACATGAACCCATTTAGAAAAACATATTTAGGGCTGGGCACAATGGCTCACACCTGTAATCCCAGCACTTTGGAAAGCCGAGGCAGATGGATCACCTGAGGTTAGGAGTTTGAGACTGGCCTGGCAACATGGTGAAACCCTGTTTCTACTAAAAATACAAAAATTTAGCCAGGTGTGGTATTGGGTGCCTGTAGTCCCAGCTACTCAGAAGACTGAGGCAAGAGAATCGCTGGAACTCAGGAGGTGGAGGTTGCAGTGAGCTGAGATTGTACCATTGTACTCCAACCTGGACAACAAGAGTGAAACGCCATCTCAAAAAATGAAATAAATAAAAAAACATTCAGGTCTAAAGCATTCTGTGAGAAAACAATCTTCCAAGATTAAAGATGGTATTCTAATTTGGTAAGCACACTGTTATATACCTGTAATATTTCAATTTTCTCTTCTTCATTCTAACACTTACAATAATAGAATCTTAGAGTTGCAAGGGCCTTTAGATGTAATCAATAGTCTATTACTAGTACAGCATAAATGATTCAGTATAGTATAATGTAACAGACAAAACGGTTAAATTTGACCTCCAAACGCCACCGCTTCAGATGTGACCAGGTAGAAAATGGACCCTTGCATTCAATTTAGAACTGTTAGCTGTCGAGATAACAAACACCTTATTTATTTGTAGTGAGTAACCTATCTAAGTACAAAGAGCGTTCAAGCCAGCGCTCTTTGGAAGGCAGAGGAGACCTTGTCTAATTTGCATTTTATTGTAGGCAGGTGTTTAATGCCATTTAATGAAAGCCTGGTGTCATGAATTTAAATTGCTAGCTACCTTAGCTTCTATACATCCCTTACCCTTCTTACACTCCCATTGCTGTGACTTCAGATTTTTATGCATTTATTTGTTTTGAGACAAAGTCTCACTTTGTCGCCCAGCCTCTCTAATGAAAACAGAGAGATTTTATTACCAGAAAGATGTTAATATTATTCTTCAAAAAGAAAAATGTTTTCCATATTAAGGCCTAAAAATCAAAGTAAAAAAAGACACTCATAAACATATGGGAATATCTATCATGTATATTAAACTAAAAAAAAAAAACAGAATTGGCAGCATTAGTTATGTAGACATATTGAAAGTGTAAATTCATACATTTAATTTAAATTAGATAGCAAGCTCTGTACTACTGAAATAATTTGGTGACAGAATTATCTGTTTTTAATAAAATAACTTGTTAACCTGTCTCAGTCAGCATCACATTGATTATCCCTTTATCAGATCTGAGTAGCACCAAAGGACTGAAAGTGGCATATATATTGCCCACAAGCCTCTGGACACCCAAAACAACAGGGTCATATGCACCTATCAGGGTTGCGGTGAATGAGATGATGAAATCAACCCAATAGATGATGCAAAGTAACTCACTGGCAGCAGGATGGTCTGAGTGGCACTTTTCTCTGGGGACAGTCTTGGGGAGAGGCTGGTGCTATGAAAGTACTGGATTATTTCTGGTACCTAAACAAAAGAACCACTATATATGTACTTGAAAGCAACACTATTCCTATAAGAAATACATTTCTGCATAATTACAGAATAAGGAACAGTCTGCTGATGATGGTCATGATGGAAAAGCGAACAGCATTTACTGATATGCAGAAGATTGCTCAGGGTCGCATTGGAAGAAGCCATAGCGTACAAGATAAGATTGCTATTGAAAAAGAAGAAAACATAAAAAGAACAAGAAATGGCAGGTGAAAATGGTAGAATTATAGTTAAATCTCACCACCAAAGAGCTGCTGGGGCTGATGATTATGGCTTGAAGCACACTCAGGAGGCAGGTAGTGCAGATGGAGAAACTTCATATCACCTTGTTCGATAGAAAAACACTTCACACTTGAAATCATTCAGAAAATACAGTGACTCAAACAGACCTGGAGCCAACAATGACACCTTAGCGAGAAGCATCACTGTGGATGAGGGCCACATGATATATGGCCAGGTCAGTGGGCTTAGGCCTGCATTACAGGAAAAGTGTAATGACGTGGAAGAAAATGAGGAAGCTGACGGTTGAGATTCCAATGCCAGCTTGAAAAAAGTAGAATGTAATAGTCTAAAATGTGAAAGAAAAACATATTTCAAATATCTCAAAATAAAACTTTACATCGTTATTTATTGTATGTTCAAAATCATCACTAACAATGTTTTTATCTTATAAAATTCTTGAATTCGATTACCATACATTTTTAAAAAGTCTTTATTTTATAAAGTTCTTTTATTCAATAATTCTATTACATAAATTAAAACAGCCTCAACATTATTTTATACACCATATATGTAGTGCATATATTCTAAGAATATTTGTGTGTATACACAATTTAAATACTGAAAAATAATCTGACTCTCACATCACAGCATTAATTTTCTCAGCCTCTCTTTCACATTTAAGAACTTTGTGATTACCTTAGGTTCACACTCAATTCAGGTAAGATCAGGTGCATTCTGGGTAGTATAGTGGTAGACACCAAATTCATAATTCAATTAATCTCCTTATTTTAGAGTCAACTGATTATCACCCTTGATTTTTTTTCTCTTTGTTATATACCAAAATATATTCCTAGAACTGAGGGGTTTAAACAAGGGCACTTTTGTGGGGCATTATTTCATTTATCACAACGCATAAAACTGTATTTTATTAAAACCCTGGCTCTGTCCAACTTTTGTTTTCCTCACAGAGAACCCTGATGTAAACTTTATCTTAGAAGGAAATTGAGGCTGGGCACAGTGGCTCAGGCCTGTAAGCTTAGCACTCTGGAAGGCTGAGGTGGGCAGATTACTTGAGGTTAGAAGTTCAAGAACAGCCTGGCCAACATGGTGAAACCCTGTTTCTACTAAAAATACAAAAGTTAGCTAGGTGTGGTGGCACATGCCTGTAGTCCTAGCTACTCGGGAGGCTGAGGCAGGAGAATTATTTGAACCTGAAAGGCAAAAGTTGCAGTGAGCTGAGATCATGCCACTGCACTCTAGCCTCCATGACAGAGTTAGAAGAGGAATAGAAAAAAGAAGAAAAAAGAAAAGGAGGAAGAAGAAGGAAGAGGAGGAAAGGAGGAGGAGAAGAAAAGGAAGAGGAGGAAGAAGAAGAGGGGAAGGGGGACGGGGAGGAGGGTGCAAGAGGAGGAGGAAGAAGATTGCTAAAATACAGCTCTCAATATTAAGAGGACCTATACTATCATTCTCTGCCTTTTAACATCAAAATATTTGCATTAAAGTGATTACATGATAATCTTTGTTGAGACTTCAGTTATTACCGAGTTATCCTTTCACGCCTTGGAAAAATACTAAGGTCTTTAATACTGAAGATAATTTGCTATATCTTAAAGAGAGTATCTGTGTATCTGAACACTTTATAAATTTATGGGATACTTTTGCAATTACTTTCTCTTGTTTCTGTCCCCGGATATAGGCACTATTTATTGAATTCAATTAAGTTAATCCAGGGCTCAGAATAATTTAGTTAAATAAATTACTCAGACCTTAAGATAAAAATGTTTGAAGGGATAGCCTGCGGAGAAATGCCAAATGTGGGTGAAGGGGAGAAGAAAAGCAAAGCACACTGCCATGTGTGTACCTACGCAACTGTCTTGCATGCTCTGCTCATGTACCCCAAAACCTATAATCCAATAAAAAATTTTAAAAAAAAAAAAAATAAATAAATAAAATAATGATTTAAAAAAAATGTTAAACGATGATTTTTAAGGCCACTTACAGTTATACCAACTTATAAACATGTCAGACAATGAAGATAATTTGACATTTTTAGATTATACTCAGAAATTCACATCTGAGTTAAAACACTGCTCTAATACCAACTGATGTAGATGCGTTTACAAAACAGAAATTGTGTATTTGATATAATCATTGTTATTTTTATCTCCCAATGCATAATCTAGTGCAGGTACACATTTATCTCAGTGTCAAAAACCAAACAGCAGCAGACAGTTGCCACCAACTGGTGCCTTCACCATATGTGGGTTTTGCTTTCATGTTAGATCCAGAACCTCCAGGGTTACATCAGATTAAAGGCATAATAATCTTTCCACTTAAAAGTAAAACAGTTTAGTACAAGCAAAACAATATTTGTACTTGAACTATTACTGATATACTAATATATATTTAGTAATTATATAACAATCAGTTTACAAATATACTGCATATATTATAAGCATGTCTCAGAGACAAATAAAATTAGAAAAAAAGACATAAATAAGAATTCTAACTTTTTTTTCTTGCCCAATGTCGTATTCAGGTCAGATATTTTAATACATGCTGCACATCTGTTAAATAACAACCTAATGCAAAAGAGTTTATCTGTTATTTTTTTTTTTCTAATGAGGATTTTGAGGACATTTGTAATGAGTCTAGAGAAAAGAAAAGTTCTCACAGACAAGGGTTAAAAAAGTTGAGTATTAAGACATTCAGTTCAATCTGAATTTTAAGTAAATAATGTAAATATCTTCAAAGAATTGCTTACATATACTACACAGAAATATGCAAATACTGCATAGCTATATAAAAATGTTTTTTGTTATTCTAATTTTAAGGTTAACTGTGTTTTCTGTACTTTTATTTGGCAAATCTGCCACATCTACCATAAAACTTGAAATAACATGTTAAAGACAAAATAGAAAAAAAAATGATACAGGCGACATGGATTGCTCAAAGTGTAAAAGAAAATTGCATCTTAAATGACATATTAAATACATACATTAAGATGTACATGTGAGCTTTCACTATGAGACGTGGCAACCAGGTATTCTTGTGCTGATAATAAAGGCCCTGAGCAATCTCAGAGACAGCAATACAGGTCAAGTATATTCTCATTATACTTGATTTATCTTCTAAATAGCACAAGTTTCAACACACACAATGGTGGGGAAGATAACATCATTAAATGGACCAAGAATAAAAGACTGATTACAAATTTTGCAGGTTCAGATCATATGTCTTATGTCTAAAAAAGACAGTGTTTTAGAAGACATTAGCCATATGACCAAAGTGTTATTATGCATAAAATACTGTATTTTGGGCCGGGTGAAGTGACTTATTCCTGTAATCCCAGGACTTCAAGAGGCTGAAATAAGAGGATAGCTTAAAGCCAGGAGTTCAAGACCAGCCTGATCAAAATAGTGAGTTCCTATTTCTACTTATTTTTTTATTTAAATTAACTGGGTGTGGTGGTACATGCCTATATTCATAGCTCCTAAAGAGAATAAAGCAGGTGAATCATTTAAGCTTATTAAACTGTGGCTGTAGTTAGCACTAATGACACCACTGCATTCCTGAGTGACAGAGTGAGAGACCCTTCTGTGAAAAAAATAAAAAAAAAGATACTCTATCTTGGAGAAAATAAAGTTAAACAAAGTCTATTTCCTCATTTTTATAATAATGTCTAATTGGTAGAGATACTTAAAATTAATAACATAACTTTTCTACAGATGTTTGTACCTGATTTATATTAAAATTACATGCAACCTAAATAATAAAATAATGCACACGTTTTATTATTATATTGATAACTTCGTGGTCATTATCAATTTTATTATATGCTATGAATGAAATTCCAAGACCTATGATGGCTTACTGACAACATACAGTAGTTATGAGACTCACAGGTGAGAAATGAGGGGGGTGGTTGATTTAGTGGTAATGGCTGAAAACCTTGAAAATAGAGATCACCATTGTAGGAAAAAACTTTCAACCTGGATTATTACATAAAAACAAAGTGTGAAATGCAGAAATGCCAAAAAAATCAATTATAATAGGTATGAAATAATAACTGAATAAACATATATATTTTGACAACAGTTAGAATGTTTGTTAACATTTTTATGATCTCGAGACACTTAATTCTCAGGTCCTGGAGCAAAAAATATATAGACTGAAAGTGTCACTGAAGAAACAGCAGACAGAAAACACTTGAGGGGTTTGGTGCTACAAATTTGGGGTTAGTTCTAAAATTTTGCCAAGCAATGTGTGTGTGTGTGTCTTAATCTCTAGAATGAAGAGTATAATTGAGCAAAATAAAAATATAACACTTATTTTTTAAAGCTTGTGAGTTTTTGCACTATCATGTCTCTGTGCATCACTCTAACATGAAGACAAGCTGTGTCCTCTGTATCTCAGGTACATCTATCAGGATCAGTTTAGGTCGGTTCCTCCCTTCTGACTTTACTTCTGAATGCATGACATGAAGAACTTCTTATCATAAGTAATTTTAAGATGAATTAAAATATTCTAACGTTCAAGGACATAGAGGTTTACTATTGGTTATGCCTTTGACATTTTCATGGCATTGTGGGCCACTGACAATCTCTATCATTATTTTGGGTTTTTAACCTACCCTAATTTCATCCTATCTTTCATTTTTAAAGAAACAGAGACACAAAGAACACTGTTTCTACTAAATGTAGAAATAGGTAATCAACAGCTAACTTGACATTTACTGGTTATATTTGTGAATATATGTTTTAAATAGATTACAAACTTGGCTGGGCCTAGTAGCTAACTCCTGTAACCCCAGCACTTTTGGAGGCCGAAGCAAGCAGATCAGTTGATGTCAGGACTTCCAGATGAGCCTGGTCTACATGGTGAAACCCTGTCTCTACTATAATTACAAAAGCATTAGCTGAGCATGGAGTTGGAGGTTGTAGTGGGCCAACACCATGTCACTGCACTCCAGCCTGGGACACAAAGTGAGACAGATTTTGTCCGCCCCCCAAAAAAAATAAAAAAATAAAATTATATACTTAACATTCAGAACTGATAGGATATGAAACGAGGAAAACCCTTTTTGAAAAGGAAATACCATATCCTTAATATTTTTGTAAATCATTGCTCTTATCAGTAAACAATCTCACCTAAACAAATATGAAACCAATTTTATAAGTTCAGTTTGTTTATAAAACACAGCAATAACAGTATTTAAAATTGTGATGAGTATTTAATGCAGTATTTAAAATTATGATGAGTACCTATTCAGGTAAGATTTTATTAACTCTGCAAAGATTTAATAAATACCAAACATTTTTATATA